ATTCACATTCTTGAATTGCAGAATGAATTATCGAAACAGAAGTACGACAAAGTGAGACAGAGAAAAAACAAAAAAGGATAGAAGTTCCGTTTGTAATCGGTGAGGCTCCGCACGCTGGGCTGGGCTCGTCGAGCGAAACAGCGAGTCTATCCTTCAGAATCTGTCTTTCTCTCTATGGTCGCTTGTTTCTAGCGACCGAAAATGCTTTCTCGGCAATTTCGGCCGTTCAACGTGTATAAATAGGAGGAGGAGGGACATTATAGATAACGTATAAGTTTTAATGAATTATACTAATCGTATATCCCTCCAATTTATGTATAATAGCAAAAATAATTTTAAAACACGATAATTTACGAGATATTAACATTTCCATGATTTTTCATGAACATTATATACCACGTTCATAAAAGTGGTTTGCAAGACCTCGGCGTGATTTCGCGCGTAGGATGCGAGATCAGAATGTTAAAGATTCCACAATTGATTCCTTTTTTCTTTTTTCATAATTTTTTTTCTAAACTAAGTGACATTGTTAATAAACACATATTACAGGCCAAATATACTTTTATTTAATTATTGAAATTATACGTGTACTTCTAAAAGTTTTAAACCGTAAATTGTAGCAAAAATAAGTCGATATAGTATGCGTCGAATAGATAGAAAACAGTATTTTTATATGTAAATGGAATCTGTTTACCTTTAAAAAAAATTTCGAAACTAAATCATGTTTTTGTAATAATGTTACGTTTGGTGTCGATCAGTACTTTCGGTTAAATGTTTCTTTTATAACTATAATCTGAATGTATGAAAATTCTGATAATGAATCAAATTGGGAAAGTGTGATGATTAATATAATTATAAGGATGATGTCAATATAATTTTATAGTTTCATAAATTAGAAAGCCTTTATATGTTGTGCAATATACAAATAATTTTTTATTTATTTATTGAAGTGATTCGGTATTCCTCCTACAGTTGTTAGAGTACAGTTGTTAAATTTTCCGGTGCTCGGAAATAGTTGCACATTTTAGGCCGACTTTTGAAGCATCGCCTTCTTTTCCCCCGTCGCCTATTACCGCTCAACACTCGACGGTTGAGCCGCCGCATCGGATCGCGCGCAGACGTGTATCTCAGGAGCATCGCACTATAAGAAATATGCTGCGACCGCTTTGACGGATGTATCGCTCAACGGCATGGTACCTTCCAGAAAATTATCATTATTTTTCTTTCTACATAATTATGATTTTCTTTATTAAATCAAACTTTCTACTAAAATATATATACACATATATATGTATACACATTTTACAATATAATTGACAATAATACAATAATTACAACACGATAATTATAATGAACAATAACTTTCGATATTAGGAAGTTTTAGCAATACTGTTAATCCAGATACGGTGAACGTCAGAGGTATCGATCAAGTAACTTTTTCTTTAGAACGAATACGTAAAAAGTAAAAAATTTTATATATGTATGCATGTACATATACACACATACAAAAAATGTTCACTTTTCACATTTTCGCCATAAAGAAAAAGATACGTAATCGATGGTCACGTTATCTTCTTCTTAGCGACTAATTAAGAGAAATTTCAGCGTTCATCGTATCTGGATCCACGTTATTGCAAAAACTCTCTATTATCTTTGAAGTTCTATTATTGATGCGTCTTTTAAGTGCATTCTACAGGTTTATTCCACTAAAAAAAACAAATCACCAGATATATGACGCAGCAAAGTAATATTCTATATTATATTCTGTGGCACAAAAGCGTGGTCAGTAGCTCTTTGAAAATAACCGAATGTATCATAAAAATAATAAAGTAATATTTCAGAAGTACATTACATTCAATAAAATGCGTTTATTTATTAAGATGTTCAATCACCATTATTAACGAAATAACATTATGTAGAAAGGAAAATATTTTAATGATATTTTGCTAGAAGGTATGGTTGCAGCCTATTTCTAATATTGCGATACTCCTGAAATGCACGTTCACGCGCGCGATCCAGCGATTTGGCTCGAACGTTGAGCGGTTATGAAGAAAAAGTAGGTAGCACTTGAGAAATCGGCCCGAAATGTGCAACTAATTTCGAGCACACTGAAGTACACGTATAATTTGTATAATTTTGTAAAAATATATTTGGAGTAATATGTTTATTGATAACGTTGTTTATTAAAAAAAAAGAAAAAAATAAGAAGAAAAGGAAAAAGCAGGATCGAGCGTAGGATCTTCAGCACTACTGATCTCGCACCTAACTCCCGAGACCACGCTGAGTTCTTACGGATCACCTCAACGAACGCGGTATATAAAGCGCACGGAAAGTCGTGAAAGTGAGATGATTAATAAAATTATGAGAATGATACTCAATATACAGTCCCTGGCCACATTATTATGACTACCTTATCTTTTTGCACTCTTTTCTATTTGGTTAAATTTGTTGTCTTAGAAACCTTCACCCTTTTAGCTATTTCCCGCTGAGAAATATTACTAGCATCTAACAATCTCTTCACCATACCTGTTTTTATAGGCGAAATATCGCTTTTCTTACCCATTCTTTAAAAATAAAACAAATCAAACATGCATGCCCAAAGCAGATACCAAACATTAAAAAACACGCAAAATAAATATAAATTGTTGTTAGACATGTTAATAAAGTATAAATAAATAAGTTAGACATAAGTTATTATTTAACTTACCGTTATATTTTATTAATATTAACAATTTACGTCACGAGACAAAGTGTTTTAAATAGAGATTATAACTTCATCGTTCGAGATGTAACTTCGACGTGGTTAAACAGTTGACACATATCAAAATGGCGATCTATGTTAGAGTTATATGCACAGTAATTTAGAAAACAGTATTGCCACATAAAATACAAATCTTTCTATCACTTTTTATAAAAATTTGCCAACTTATAAAAATATCGTAAAATTCAACAGTGGTTATAATAATGTGGCCAGGGACTGTAATCTTATAGTTTACAAATTGAAAAGTCCTTATATGTCGTGCAATATAGAAATAATTTTTTATTTGGCTATTGAAGTGATTCGGTACGCAACTTGACGGCTCTCGTAAAGGAGCACGGCAATGTCTCGCGCCATATGTCAGCGCCGAGACACTACCGTGTCTCCAGATTTTTCCAACAGTTGTTGAATTAAAACTTGAAAGTACACGTATAATATAATTATATAAAAATATATTTGGAGTAATATGTTTATTGATAACGTTGTTTATTAAAAAAAGAACAATAATGAAAAAAGGAAAAAGCAGGATCGAGCGTAGGATCTTCAAGCATACTCATCTCGTATCTAACGCTCGAGACCACGCTGAGTTCTTACGGATCACCTCTGCGAACACGATATGTAAATCGCACGGAAAACCGTAAACTATATCTCGTTAACTATCATGTTTTGAAATCATTTGTGCTATTATACGTTAATGAGAAAGGTATATGATTAACATAATTTAATAAAAGTTATGTGTTATCTAGAATGTTTCTTTTCCTCCCTTATGATACACGCCAAACGGTCGAGATCGTAGAGAAAGTATTTTTGGTCGCTAGAAACAAGAATTTTAAATCACAAACACAGTTGCCAGTTCTCCGTTTTTTCTGCCAGTCTTCGGTTTCTTGGACTAATATTCGATACTCCAGCAGACGTAAAAAGTATAAGAAAATTGGAGATTTTCACGTAAGAACTCAGCGTGGTCTCAGGCGTTAGGTGCGAGATCAGTATGCTTAAAGATCCTACGCTCGATTCTGCTTTTTCCTTTTTTTCATTATTCTTCTTTTTTTAATAAACAGCGTTATCAATAAACATATTACTCCAAATATATTTTTATATAATTACATTATACTTTCAAGTTTTAATTCAACAACTGTTGAAAAAATCTGGAGACACGGTAGTGTCTCGCCGCTGATAAGTCCGGATCTACAATAAGGTTTTAAGCCTTAAGCCATAAGAAATGGGCGAATCATAGTCGCTTATTCTTCTCGGATTCGACTGTAATTGGTCAATTTCTTACGGCTTAAGGCTTAAAACACCTATTGTAGATCCGGGGTAAATGGCGCGAGACATTGCCGTACTCCTTTACGAGAACCGTCGAGTTGCGTACCGAATCACTTCAATAGCCAAATAAAAAATTATTTCTATATTGCGCGACATATAAGGACTTTTCAATTTATAAACTATAAGATTATATTGAGATCATCCTCGTAATTTTATTAATCATCTCACTTTCACGACTTTCAGTGCACTTTACAATATATACCGCGTTCGTTGAGGTGATCCGTAAGAACTCAGCGTGGTCTCGGGCGTTAGGTGCGAGATCAGTAGTGTTGAAGATCCTACGCTCGATCCTGCTTTTTCCTTTTTCATTATTATTACTTTTTTAATAAACAACGTTCAATAAGCATATTACTCCAAATATATTTTTACAAAATTATACAAATTATACGTGTACTTCAGTGTGCTCGGAATTAGTTGCACATTTCGGACGATTTTTCAAGTACTGTCTACTTTTCCTTTACAACCGCTCAACGTTCGACGGCCAAATCGCTGGATCGCGCGCGCGAACGTGCATCTCAGGTGTATCGCAATATTAGAAATAAGCTGCAACCATACCTTCCAGCAAAATATCACATTAAAATATTTTCTTTCCTATAGAATTGTTATTTCCTTAATAATGGTGATTGAACATCTTAATAAGTAAATGCATTTTATTAAATGTAATGTAGAAAGAGTATCCGTTTAGTTTGTAAATCTTTATTTTTCGCGCGATTCCGGCTATGGCGCTATACTTTTACTACTACTATTAGGGTATTAACGTGCCTACGCAAGAAGGAAGAAGAAAGGGAGGTTGAGTTAGAGAATAAGAATATGGCTGACACGTGTGGTATATCTAAGCGTAAAGTGTGAATAAATTAGTGTATCTCTCCTAAATTGTCGTCCAATAAATATTGGCTCGCCATCGATTCTATTTGGAATCATGTTATTAATCCTACAATTTGGAGGCTCGTCCACGATAAGAACTGGTGAGAGACAAAAGGGAGAAAAAGAATCAACACGAAAAAGAAGCAAAACGAAAGACGATAAAACGAAAGACGATAAGACGAAAAGACGTACGACGAAAGACGATAAGACGAAAGACGATAAGACGAAAGATGATAAGACTAAAGACGATAAGACGAAGAAAGAAGCAAGACGAAAAGACGTAAGACGAAAAGACGTAAGACGAAGGACGATAAGACGAAAGACGATAAGACGAAAGAAAAGACGCAGGACGAAAGACGACAGGACGAAAGGAAAAGACGAGACGAACAGCGAAGGAAAGAAGAAAAGAAGACGACATTCAAACTGCGAGGACGTTAAGCATTGATTGTGCAACCACAAGGTGACGCAGCGACATCAGAAATACAGTGGCAAGACTAAGTGCGCGTCGGTAATAGTACCATCGAGAGTACAGTATATAGACTTATATAGAGTACAGTATATAGACTTATAAAATAGACGGAGCGTTCGTACGAGAGAAGCTGAAGACTTGATAGAAAGAGAGAGAAATAGTCGCGGAGTAGTTCTCTTCTTTTCTAGTAGTGAATTGATTGGTCGCCGCGGCAGGTCTGGGAGTAACCGAGAGCAACGAAGATAGATGTCCGAGAGTAAGTTGACTGACAATGATAGTGAGAGTTTTGGCGGATTGCAGCGGATTATTGTGCATTATTTTTAATAGTTTATTTACAAATTAAAAGTTGAAAATTTAATAATGGTGCGGTCTTGCTGCATTTGCAAGTCAGAACATGGTGTTCGAAGAGGTGTTTCTTTCCATCGGTAAACAATTTTATTACAGTAAAACGTAACATTTGTATAGGTTAGGTGTATTTTAAGTAAAGTAAATAACATTAATTTCTCATTTTTTTGCAATTGATTGAGAATATTCCGTTTATCGCATGATGTACATAATGCATCATTTATCCTTGTTGTTCGCCGAATATTAAACAAGGATAAATGATGTATTACGCACATCATGCGAGACACGGAATGTACCCAAAATAACAACAGATACAGCTTTTTTTTATTAATTAATATATTTTAATATAATTATTTAAAAAAGATGTATGTTAATTGTAACGTCCGCCGAAATTGCGCGCAGGCGAAAGTCACGAACAACGACACTAGACCCGTTGCCGTAGCAACGTGAACTGTCGCGATTACCGCGGAATCCTCGCGAACCGTGGTCACGCGCTTAGCGCGTGATCCAACAGCTGTTACAAGGCCGTACTGCGCTTGCGCGATCTAATTTTATTAATCGCAAGAAAACTCAATTAATTAAATAACGCGACGAAAAAGCATCTCATGATATTAGAACCTAAATCATAGGGAACTGATAGCCTTTCTAGTATCCTCGATCTATCGCAGTGTTCCGAATAAATTGATAAATTCACCTCATTTAAATTTAATAATTGCAGTTGCAAATATAATTGCGCTAGTTCATAAAGCGGCTAATACTGCGCTTACGAGAATACATAGATAAATTGCACCCGCAAGTGCACCAAAAGCTTATAACAAAACCTGCGGGATCCGTTAGAAGCTTCGCGATACGAATAACGCACAAACGCTCTATACTCAAACTCTATATATAAAAAAGGAGAAAACACTATTCGGCTGAATGTAACGCGAATAAACGCGCACAGCGACTGCACACTATGCAGCACAGGGGCGGAGCGACTAAGAGGGCCCTGTCAACATTTAGATTCGGCAATTTCGCCCTTTTAAACAGTAAAATCTATTAAAATCTTATCGGATAAAAAGTTCTAGAACAATTCAAACGGTTCCGGTAACTGTTGACAGGTCAACCCCCTTTCCCGCTCAGCACCACCGCTTCTAACAATATAAAAGCGCACATCAAAGACGAAAAATCGCTTAGTTCCGACTTCGTACCGATTGTTATAATTCTGCTTAGTATCGCTCAGTATAGTTTCGATCATTGTTAATTGCGCCTTCAGTCGGCTGTAGACACCAAGTGCCATGATAGAAGTTATTATCCGAGTGTCAAGACGAGAGTTCTCCTACGCCTGCAGGGTCCTCGTCTACCTAACTTCACCATATATCAAGGATAGGCGAACAATATCTCGACGAAAAGTGAGTTGCATGTGGCACCTCCGTTAGACGCACTATTCTCCATTCGTATAAACATTCAAATTGTAGCTATCGGGTGCGAACCAGTATTCGTATAAACATTCAAATTCTAGCTATCGGGTGCGAACCAGTAAAATCTCAGTCAATATCTCGTATATATCTCTTTAGCAGAAATCAAAACGGAATAAAACGCTTAAAATTTATTTTCTTTTATCTTTGTTTTTTTTATCTTCTTCTTTCACTCTCCCTTTCTCTCGGGCGTAATTAACGCCATTCGGAGCGCCTGTAAAGTCTGTGCCGTCCAATTTCTGTTGTAATCTAGTGAATCCGGAGCGGGAAGCCTCGCGCGTTGTGGCGCATGAAAACCGCGCCAGGCTCCCT